TTTTGACAGACGCCAATTGAGTCTAATAATAATATCTAATAATAATCTTGTGTTGCTTTGATCATTAGTTGTACTTTTTCAAATAATACTGTAATTACTAAGATGAACGACTTTAGTAGAAAGAAACTCAATTCTTTTTCTATCACCATTTTCAGGATATGAAACTTTCAATTGACATTTGCCGGATATACAGTCTGTATCATTCTCTTCACCACTACAAATATCACACCTTCCTGCATTGCAAGAAGGAGGTAAGGATTTTGTTGCACTTTCGCTATAATACCCAGTGTGTATTATATTAGGGATACAATAAATGATATAACATAAACCACCTATATGGCTGGTTTAACAAAGTTCCTGAAGTTCCTGTTGGTCCCATGTGCACATGGGGATCGGGGCTTTCAGGCACCAAGCCTGTGGAGCTCTCTTCCATTGTCCAGACTCCGTTGACTCTTAAAAAGCAGCTGAAGACATTTCTATACAAACAAACTTTTGTTTAATTTGATCATTGTGTTATATTATTATTTGTATTTCTGATTTGACTGTTAAGCACTTTGTGATTTTTTTATCTGTGAAAAGTGCTCTATAAATAAATTTGACTTACTTACAGCATGAATTTAAAAGCTCCCCAGTCCTTTGTAGCTTCTTTGGAGCTACAGAGTGACAACACTGATGTATAAGTGTGAACACACACTGTATAGAAATGATCATTAGCCATGATACTGTATGTAGGTACTTAACATAACTGTTGTTTTCTGACTAGACAGACAATATTGAGCAGGCAGCGGAGGACCCTGGCCAGGAGGAGGTGGTGCAGCAGTGCATGGCGAACCAAGGCTGGCTTGAGAGCCTCTTCAGTTCTTTCATGGAACTGCTTACTCTCAGTGCAAAGACCTAAAGGACGATCACAACCTCTGCCTCCAAAAACAAACATCCACCTGCAGTATTAAGTAGGTGGAGGTGTTCAGAATGTGTGAAACAAAGCAATCAGAAACTGGATCCCAGAAATGCAACGAGAGTGGCCCCTATTTTTTTTTAAAGGGAAGGTTACCATTGTAAGTATTTGCTTTATTGCTGTATCCAACTATTGTACCAACTTATGAAGGCTAGTGAACTATTGGAAAGCAATGGATTTCCCCAAAAGTCAGTGAAAGATTATTTGATTAGAACTACAAAGGTGACTTTTGTCAGGACTTACACAGCATGGATATGTATGTGCAAGCTGTCTTTTATGTAAGGATGTAAGTAAAATATGTATTTAATGTGGTTTGTATAATTTACACAAATCCATTTTTAAAATGTACTTTTCTCAGATGGAATTGTTTGCAGTTCACATTTTTGAAAAATGTTTTATAGGTGTAAAACCAAATGGCCCGTATGCAAAGCTAAGCTAAAACAAATGGTTTAGTGAGATAAAAGTGAGGTTTAAAAAGACAGTGTGAATGTCTTTTCTTTCTGCATCAGAAAAAAGCAGGAAGATAATATATTTAAAACCAAATCATGATGTTTCTGTTTGTTCTTCAGGAGCTAATGAATGATTGGGATTAATTCCCTTAATGAAGAAGAATACAAAAAAATGAAGTACTGCTTTCTTAAAGGAAGTATGAGTTAAAATGATGATAAACCCTTAATATCAGTATTTAATGTCATATTTTTTTTATCTGTTTGTTGCTGAGTTTTCCTATAAGTTGAACTCTCTGAGGATATTCTTGCAGAGTTTGATTTGTAGATATTGTACAGCTACTTCATCCTCTAGTTTCCAGTGGCTCTTCAGTACATGCAATTGCTGTATTGGACATACTGTATTAAAACTCTGAAAATAACAAATGAATCAATGAATCAATAGCCTTGAGCTGAAGTCTTTTCAAGAATGTTTGCATCATAGCTAAGTGGATTTTAGCTGATACAAAGGCACTGCCCAAAAGTTTGAATTGATGTATTTAAGTTTACTGCAGATAGCATCACTTTAAAACAACTGTTCAGTTGTGCTGTGCAAGGCAGCAGTGTTCCTTCTTTTTCTGTAATTTAGCCTTACTCTTTGTTGAGAGCTCTAACAACAGAATAGTTCATCCATCAGACATTTGAAAGCAGAGGGTGGAGGACGGTTTATTTATCTTCCTCTCAGGAACTTTGAATCTCAAGCAGGAATTGTGTGATGCAAATCCAATTCAGCATAGAGTCATAGTAAGGATTATTTTCTAATCTGTTTCTCTAAATATGATACACAAGGACATTAAACCTAAGCAGTCCACAATATGCAAATGAATACTGACAAAGCTCGTACCAGGTCAGCGAGAGAGAAAAGGTATGGCAAACCTTTTTGGGAACACCGACCGAATCAAGCACGAATGGGAAGACCAAACTGTGTAAGTGTGTAGTAGAGAGAGAATGACACAGTTCACAGTGTGCTGTGTGGTTGTAGCACTGTAAATCCAAAGCTTATAGAAACTAGGGGTGGGGTTAGGACAGATAGAAGAGAAAGAAGATTATCTGCTTCAAAGGTTTCTTCGGTGATAAGAAGCTGCCAGTGGTTGTGTGTTCTTCTCTTTATTACACCAGCAGGTGAGTGAAAGATGTCGTGGTTACTGTTGTAAAACTAAGAGGAAACTTCAGTGTCGTTCAGCACTTCATAGATACAACAAAAAAAGAAAATCCAGTATATGGTTATTGTGCAAATGTATTTATACAAGCACTGAATTCTTTAATAGATATTGTTCTGTCAAATTTGACATGTGCTTTAATGATTGTACTTTATCTCAGATAATATTTGACTTAAGTTAGTTCATTATCAAAGTTCATTAAAATACTTAGTTAAAACTTTTTTTTTGAAACTTATTTTCAAATAAATTATAAATAAATAAATTTCTGTCCTGTCTGATCGTCTTTTAGTTGTATTTGCATTTGGCTTCGATTTCATCCTGTTTTGTGCTTAGGCTTGAAGCATGGTTCCAGACATAGAGAGAATTATTGAGAGCATCGTCCGCAGAGACCAGGACAGCGTGCAGCTTCTGCTCAACAGCTACAACACACAGGTCACTACTCTTTGTTACAATTACTGTGTTGCTATAGAAGTATTTATTTATGCAACAATGGAAACTGTTTTTCTGTACCTTCGACACTGTAAGCTAAAAATTTAAATATTACTTATCATCATATAATCATTACAGCACTTCAGCAAAAAAATCAGGTTTCTTCTTATTTAAAAAGTGACTTTGCATTAATATATTAGACACAATTAATTAGCATTATAAATTGGACGTTGCACAAATGTAGAATCTGGTGGCTTTTAATGGTTTTCCCAGAGACTGAGTCAGTGTTGATTGTCACAGCAGCTAGTTTTCTTGGTCTGGCTAGTCCAGAACAAGAGCTGACCCCTCTGGTTCCTGTCATGGTGCCCGTGTTGGCCTGAGTGGCCTCGCTAGCTCCGGTCTTTGAGCCAGAGCCAACACCTTAGTCCCTATTTTTGCTCTGCCTCCAGCAGGATCCACGTGTATGATGCTGCATTGCTGAAGGAATTCTGGTTCAATCATTCAACCTTTGACAAAAAACAGTTTTTCCAATTGCTCTTTTAAGAGTGTATCTCATTTTTAAAAATGTGTATTATCTATATATCTATCTATGTTGTGAACCTGCTATTCTCTGAAAAAAGAAAGAAAAAAATGAATATGAATGAATAAGAAATGATATGAAAAACGAGTATCCTTAAAATATTGTTTTTCTGAAATTAAATTGGCACTGCCGTTATCAAATCGCAGTTTGATTGATGTTCCTATAGGACACTTTGTCAGTGCAAATCTGTGATCTAGCTTTTCTCCGTTTTCCTAACTGCTTGTATTCTTGCATTTCTCCACAGTATGCAGAGTGCTTCTTTTTCAACACTGAGGCACAGGAAAGGCGAAAGGTCAGCTTTGTGTTTCTCTCCAGTAGTTTCATTCTTTTCGTCTATATTTCCTTTGCCATGGCCTTCAGCCACTCTCATGTCAGCACCCTGTCAGTTGTGTTTTGACTCTTAGCGTGATCTCTAAATATATAATATAAAGCATGCTTATAGCAGTCACTGGAGTATTTTGATTATTTGCTATTTGTTTTTAGAAAAGTTTGCCTATCTTCATAGCACATGATTTTCCAAGTGCTCAGTGATTATCCCAACCCACCAACAAACAGAGGCTTAGGAATATGTTAGATGAACTGGAATAGACAAAAAAGTCTTCCTGGATTATTTCTGCTGATTTTCAGTTTGCTTGAATTTCTCTTGCTGTTTCTGTGACGGGTTCTGCTGCCAAACTAAAAAACAAGAAAAGGGAAAAAAACCGACTATTAACTGCTGGGAATTCTGGTCTGTTGTGTACCCTTTGACAAAGTTCCTCTTTATTATTTTTAGTTTGTTTTTCATCCTCATGTTTTAGCGGCCCTCAATTTTTATGAACTGCAGTTAATAAAAGTAAAATTTGAACCTGAAGGATTAACAGTTCCATCTCAAATGAACTTCTTTCCAGCTCATCTGTCCTGATTCTGCTGTCCTCCTCCACCTCAGTCTTCATCTGTTTCTAATGCTTAAATATCAATTCTACTTTTTACATGTATTCCTGTCACTGTTCATGGACTATCTGGCTGCAGCAGCAACAACTGGAAGAGGTTTGGGGCATTGATTTTTTAAATTAGGAAACATGTACACTAGATAGAAAATTGATAGGATATGTATGTTGGTGTGATCTTAAAACTGGACGCAAACAAACTGATTTCTTTATCCAGATACAAGGAGTTTCTGAAGGGTTGCAATATTTCTGACTAGATGTGGTATAAATGCTGTTAGGATAAGGCTCTGACAGTCAACTTTCTCCTGATGGCAAGAAAACAAAGTCCAGTTCACTCTAAGTAATCAAATCACTAAACACAGTGTGGACTGTATCTGCCTTCGTATCACCATCAAGAAAAAAAATTAAAATAATGCAACAAATAGTATTAGGGAGAAATTTTAAAACTTCCAAATTCCAATTAAAATATATTGGCCATTGCACTGTATGGTAGTCGAGCATGGGGTTCCCTCTACATGCAGTATGCACAGTGCAAACCACCAACCAGGCATATACCCACTGATAATTATAGTTCAAAAGAAATCCAGCCTCCTTGCTTTCCTCCAAAGGCGTCCTGTATGTCAGCTGGTGCTGACACTAACTGGCTCCTTTCAAACACACCCTGATCAAGCTTAGAACAGCACTGTGTTATACATCACTAGTATACTACTACCACACGCGTATATATCAACATACCTTTAACATTTATTTAAAAAATTATATTTTGACGTTTTGGCAATATTGTTTTTAGGAACTCTCATGTGAATAAAGCACCTTTAAAGTGAATTATAATTAGATAGAGAGACAGAGAGAGTGAGTGAGAGAGTGCTGACTCAGTATAACAGTAATCCAAAATAATACCAGTGTGTGCATGTGAGTTCCAAAACCGATTGCTAATCATATTTAGAGCAGCATGTTCTCAAAGCTGCTTGAACACCTCATGACTAAGCATTAGCAGCGCTGACCTTCACTGTCCAGACATGCTAGAGCTACACAAACTGTTCTTTTTCCTCTACACTCTCCGTATGCTGCAAATTAATGTCATCGAGATATTTGCTTAAATGATCTTGTAGTTTTCAGTGAAACCACCTAAAATGTTCTAAACTTACATACAACTACCTCAATAAAAGGATGTGGTATTTGTCTTAAGTACTTCAGTGCTTTTTGGTATTATAACTTTAGTGTAGTACTGTAGTGCAAGTGCTGCAGGATATAAAGTGAAGAGGATGTGAATATCCAAATATCCAAATACAGCATGACTAAAAAAGTGGTCATGTGTACTTGTCTTTATTATTATACAGCCATGTCATAATCATCATTCAGTCAGCACTGCTCCCTCAACAGTGAATCTCAGATGAAGCCTGAATGAATGTTCAAACTATAAACATGCTGAGTTTCATGTGTTGCATTACACAGACTTTGCAGTTATTCGTGCTGTTTCTCTCTCTTGGGTAATTAGTTCAGGAAGAAGAAATTCAGGGACTGTGCTCCTGCGTCCGACTCTGACATTGACTCAGATGATGAGAATGCAGAGCTTCTGCTCCGGCAGGTAGGCCAGTGATTATATGCCCCTGTGTGTCTACTCTCATGGCTACATGTACCTGTGTCTGCTAACACAAGTCTGCCACACTCATCCCTGTATTTGCACATTTTGCATTCTTTGTCTTTTCTCCTTGCAGTTCGTCATTCTAAACCTTCTTCACTGTAACATCTCCCCCTGACTACTTTTTCAGGATCTGTCTGCAGCCCTGTTGTGCTTCATTGGTAGTCAGCTACAGCCGGCGGTTTTACGGGTTTGCCTGCATACGCTGCGTATCCTGTCCCGTGACCGTAGGGCCCTGGGGCACATGGTCACTGATAGTGCCCTTCTCACATTAGCACACATGGGAGGCATCGCCATACCACAGACATCCCTACAGCAAGAAAATAAGGAAGCTGAAGATCACGTGGGCAGATCATGCAGCACAACCCTGATTAGAGCTGTGAGTAGTTGTGAGCAGGGTGCAGAAGCTGGCACTGCCCCGTCTGGGTGCTCTGTGGTTTCATTTTCTGTTCTTGCTGAAGGAGCTGTCTCTCCAGCCACATGTGGTTCAGTGAATCACTGCTATCAGCAGAAACATGATGGAGAGCATGTGACGCTGTCCCGTGGCAAAAAAGACACCCAACAAGATAACAGTGAGGAACAAGAGAAGGAGGAGGATGGAGAGGTGTGCAGGAAGGAAGCCTTGAAAGTCTTGTGTAATGTCATCTACAACAGCCCCCGGGCACAGGAGAGAGCCAGTGCACTAAGGTGACATTTTTAAAAATGTGTCGACTTGGTCGTAAAGTTGTGCTACAAGTTTCATTCTCCGCTAAGAAAATGATTAGCAATAAAGTCTCAATAAAAAGGTCAAATGAAGGCAAACAAAAACATCAGAATGATACATTTGAGACACTTTACAGGATGCAATGTCAAAATACTCATATGAAAACCATTGTTGGCTGTCAGTTATTTTCTCCTAAATCATTTACAATCTTTGCCACTATATTTTTCTAGTTATATTCAAATACTGTTTATTCTTTATATACAAGGATGTCACGCTAATCAGCTCAACTACTTGCCTGAAAATGTGATTCCTATATTCATGAAAGGCTATTGCAAGGTTTGTGGGAGAGTCTGAAGGAGGAGATCTGGAGTAAAGTGCCACTCAGCTGCCACTTCTACAAGCTGAGGCTACTCTTCTTACTGACAGCCCTAAGACCTGAACTCAGGCTGCAGCTGCAAGAGGTAAATGATTTCTAACCTATCAAGGATCGAATTACATGGTATCGTTGCTTTCTAGTAATAAAAAAGGTGATCTTGAGAAACTAAATGCAGACACACTTTCTTTATCCTGGGTGTGTATGGTATTCATTTATGAGCAACAAGCTATGAGTTGACAAGGGACATCAGTGACAGGCTTTTCGTGTTGGACAATCTAAAGTGACCATGATTGCTTCGAACACATGAAGTCTCTCAAAATGTCCTATGACATTGTTAGATATGATACTGTTAATTTACAGGAGCCATTTAATATTCCAGTTATACTGAAAGTGGACCAAAACTTTATCATTTTATTTAGATATCTATAATAGAGTGACAGAGCAGTGGATGTCAGCTGACTGTAGATTGTTGCCACATTAAAATCTTAGGAATAATAAAATTAAGATTTGATTAAGTATTTCTTCATCATAACTAAACCTACAAAGCCTACACAATTAGACAAACAGACAGTCACACCACCTCCAAGCCCTTATAGGCCTTATATGCTGATCAGGACAAACCACAAATGCATGTTTTCTGTTCTCCTGAAATCAAAAGAGTGTCAAAGAACCGTGCTTCACATCTGCCTTAAAGTTTGTTTGTTCTTGTCAGGAGCGGGGAGTGTCAGTGCTGACCAAAGCCTTGGAGCAGTGCCTGGCTGTGAGCTGGGGGGTGGAATATGAGGTGCTTACCGACGGTAAACAACCTCCCATTTCCATGGAGGTGTCCCAGAAGGTCATTGAGATCCTCAAGACACTCTTCAACATCACTCACATGTTCCACAGGCAGGAGCCTGATGAGGTGATTAGCTGGGGGATTCCTCCAATTTAGCTGGAGCTTAATAACTAAACCAAAGAAACTAACATCATATTGCTAACATCTGAATGTTTGTTCAGGTATTATCACTAATTTATTTTGTTTACAATACTGTGTCCACTTTAAGATAATCCTATATTTTTTTCAGAGGTGACCAATGTCTAGGTTTTGTTTCTTAATGGGATTTTAAAAAATGTGTAATACATTATTATTGCTGCCATTTACTTTGCTGTTAGTTGATTTGCAAATCACTCAAAGCTTTAATTGAAAAGCCAAAAAAATAAGTTGGGCAGGGCCACGTGTTGTTTTCTTTTCTTTTGCTGTCACTGATAAATAAGCTTTGAACGTCCAGTAGCAGAGCTTCAGTTTGGTCAGGGAGGTAGACCAAGGCAACAGGCTGGAGCTGAATCATAGTTAACTGATCAGCAGTTCAACATAAGTTGAGCCCAGTCAGGACCCCCCCAAAATTTCCAACCTTGTTCCTCAGTCTGTCAACTCTGCCTTCCTGTAATGTAGTTCAGTAATCTTTCATTGAGCTTATTTATATATATTTCCAGAGTATTACACATCTACTCTTTACAGTTTTTCTTGGTTGATTTGTGCTCAGCAGGAATGTAATTCTCACCACTCTTTATACTAAAACAGTTAAGGCATTTTTCCAGACTCATTTGTGCAAAGACAACCAAAAAATCAAGATCTCTTTCACATATGTCAGAACGTGTAAAGTCAGTCAATCATTTCAACCTTGTGTAAAACCTTTTACCACCATTTCAGGACGTTGATACTGAGTTGCTTTTTCCTTTTATTAAAGCCTTACTGACTTTGAAAATAGTGCTAATGTGGGTTAAAAATTGTTCAGAAAAAAAAGAAATGTGAAGGATTTATTTAAAACTTTACAAAATTGATGCTTGTGAAACTATATGGATCAGAACACAGAGAAATATGCACAATCTGAATATAGTCAGAGTGTTCTGGTCCTTCAACACCCGACGCCGACCTTGTTAAGCCGGGATGGCTTCAGTTACATATCTCACACTGCAGTTTTAATGTGTTGTGAGATTTAAGTGAGAGGTGCATCAACACAGTAAAAATGTCTTTGGTAGTGAAGCGTGTGTGGAAATGTGTTCCTGATTTGAGAACTGCATTTAGAGTGGTGAGAATTACGTTTCTGCTGTGTGA